GTTTATAGAAGCAGAAAGTCAGTAACAGATCGAAACGGGCATCTGAAATGGCTGCGGATTGAAAAAATCGCTTGAAAGAGTAGAAAAAGAAGAATAAATTCGCAGATGACCGGAGATGGCCTCAGCTTTTTGTCGGCCCCCTGAACTTCCCACATTGTTATTATTAGAGAAATATAAAATTTTAACTAGGTAATACATTTGTAAAACTAATGTAATACAAATTATAACATATATGGTATATATATTGAAGATTTTTGGAAAAGGGCGCAAGCCTGAAAGAGGGCGCCACAAAAAGATAGGGAGTTTTCGCGGGGAAAAAACCTCTCGGATGAAAAAAGGATTTTGCTCCTCTCTCTCTTGGGTTGACTACGTGAATACGGGCATTTGATTTCCAGTCTCTCCTAAATTTAAAAATTAATATTTCATATCTCAGCTGAGTGTGGATTGTGAGTAGAGTCTTGTATTATAATTTTTATTGTTTGTTAATTAATGTATGTTTTCTATTATTTATTTTAAATTAGAAGGATTAACTTTTATTTCAATTTTGTTTTTTCTTTTCTTGTTTAAACCTTTTTTTCCACATAGTTACCATAAAACTAAGATGAAAACGTAATATAAAAATGTCTAAAACAAAAGAAACTGAACGCATCTAATAAAACAAGCCTTCCTAAAAAAATATTTACAACCTTTAAAATATTTTTCTTTCTTCCGATAAAATTATATTTGATTTTTAATGGTTAATTTATTGCACAAGCAACAATTGTTCTTTAAAAACTAATTTCATATATCATGCTGAATATGTCAGTAATAATTCATTTTAAAATATTTTATACATTTATACGACAATACGGCATTACAATTTTTACGGTTTATTTTAGTAAGGGTGTTATAAAAATAAATAGCATTTTCCCATGGATCATTGTAATCGTAAGAAATTCTATCTCTTGAGATCCTAAAATTGAACATTTTTTACGACAATTCCGATAAAGCTTTTATGTAGTTTTCTACCTTAAGGGTTATATATTGTCCGGCATGTCAGATCCTTATTTTTTACACTGTGTATAAATATAAAACGCAGGCGCCATCGGGTACAAAATAATACAGAAAAAAATCGTTAACCAAAAAAGATTCTTACATCCCAAAATATGCCCTTTGCTCAGTGGAGACGGGAATAGAGGAAAAATAATTTTTTAAAATTTGTTGAACAGAATGAAAAAATAATAATAACCGTTAGGGCGACAGACGTTCTATTTTTAATAGATAAAACGACAAAAATAAACAGGAAGAAGTTGAATAATTAAAAATTATCCATGGGTTAATTGGACAACAATGGAATATTACAGGAATATCCGAACTAGTGAAGTCAATTACATGTGCTTTTGTTTGTTTCCAGAATGGTTTAAAAATGTATGAAGCAAAATACAGACTGTATCAGGCATGTTCCAGTAATCAAGCCGAACTTCTGGCCATTCTGAAGAGCTTGCAATGGGCTATGAATAAAAACTCAGAAGGGAATATTGCCAAATTTATCATTTTAAGTGACAGTCAAGTGTCTTTAGAATCAATTATTAATTATGATAATCATGGCTTTTTGCCTGAGCAAATAAGGAAAATTATTCAAACTCTAGTCAAACAGAATGGTAATGTACAACTAGGCTGGGTTAAGGCTCATTGCGGAATAGAGGGAAATGAAGAAGCTGACAGACTGGCCAAATTAGCACCTACTGACGAGAATTTGAATTTGGCATACGCAAAACTTCCAAAGTCATCAATTATAAATAAACTTTTCGAAGAGAGTCTGGAAAAATGGGAAAATGCTTGGTCAAGTACAAATAATGGAAGGCAGACAAGAAAGTTCTTTCCCAAAGTTGCCGATAGATTCCTGCCGCACATCCAACTATCCGCACCACTAACTCACATCTTAACCGAACACGGCCCAAACAACAGCTATTTTTTCCGCTTTCAACTAAAAGAATCTTCATCATGCTCACGCCTGCCTAATTTTTCAGTATAACAAAGCATTAAACATCTAATATATGAGTGCCCACTAATAGAACCACTGCGTAGTGTTTGGATACGAAAGTGCCTACTGCAAGACAAGAAGTGGCCACCTGATGAGAAGGAGCTCATGAAGAGAGAATATTATAAACATTTTGACATATTCATTAAAGCAATAGATTTTAATGTAATTTAGTTAATGTTATGTTATTTGTTTATTTAGTTTTTAATTAGTTTCTACTTATTAACGTTATTTATTATTATTTAACAGTTTCAGTAATTGTATATTACATTTTATACATATATATACATTTTATATATTTTATATTTACGGTTATTGTGTTACATGTAATATTTTGTATGAAGCATGTAGAATAAATATAATTTAAAAAAAAGTCAATTACATAATATATATTACACTTAATTTATATCATATACATTACATAATATATATCACACCTAAGATTATTTACCTTCAAAATATTTTTAAAAATATCCCTTTTAAACAAATCAAACGACCCAAAAAATGTTTATATTACACTTATAACAAATTTCATTAAAACTCTTTGAAGGTGAGTGAGATTTCCAAACTTAGCAGATACATTCTTGTAAAAATTCGGATAAAATGGTTTGTCATTTCTCCGAGCACGCGGAGGAACTGAGAAGTTAATACATTCAAGTAATTAAAGGCAATGGTACAAACAATTAAATAGTTTCCACAAAATCATAGACCCAACACGATGGATTGATCTTTCATGAAAAAAGACCTATATCAAACCACTGCTCCTACGCGACCAAAATATAGGCAGAATATTCCTAAAGTCCTTAACGTCTATCATAAGAAAACCCACATTTTTGTTCGACTAGAAATAGATCCAACATATCCAATATGAGGTGTAAAGGGACGAAAACTACCCCAAGTAATGGTCAAAATTTCTCAAATTTACAGCCGTCAAACAATATGAAAACTGATAATGCTTTACTTTTTCCAAAAGGAAATACTTTTACATGTGGAATATTTAATAACAGTTTATTGTCGGAGCACCAAGAATCTAACCAAGTATTTTTGCAAAAGCCCATTAACTACTTGAACATGTATTTAGGCATAGATTTCTATGTCACCAGCAAGGAATAAAAATTTGGAAGACTCTGGGCAACACCTGATGAAGCAATAAATAAGCTTAAAATTCTATCACCAAAACTTAACTTTCATTCATCTTTCAGATAAGTTGGCCTTAATCCAACCAACCTCCACATCACCAAATCCTAGACGATCAAACTTGGATAAAAGAATACTTTGATCCATGGTATCAAAGGTCTTTCAAGCGTTCAAACTAGTTTGATTTTTTCGTGCGTTCTGACGTTGAATTTAGAGAGTTTTGGTTATATATTATACATATAATATATAAAATTGGTTAGTCGTGTCGTGAGAATCGGAGTTTCTGGGACATGAAAGACGAAACCATCACAATAGTGATATTTCTCGACAAAAGTGGGAGAAAGTTGCTCAAGAAATCAGATATCAACACTAGCAATAAGTGAATCTTTTTATGTAAGGTTTTGGTTGCAATGAAAAAGTGAAATAGACCTCTCAATATAATGAATCTAGCAATAAGTTTGAAATTCTCCCTTATCATCACTTGTGGAAAATAAGTGATTAACACGCTCTGTTTTTTCACCAGCTATCAACGGACTTTCAAGAAAATAAACACATTAGGTTCGTCCATTTTGCCGGAGGCAGAAACGTACTATCAGAAAACAAGCACGATGTAACCACCTTGTTCTGTCGAGGATTTTGGGCGTACTCGTCAGAACAAAATTTCGTCAGAACTCGCATAAACTTGGTTTCCTTTCTCCAATGTGTTAATTACAAATTCCATGTACACCACCAAATATGAGGCGTGGAACGTCCAGATAAAAAAAACACCATACTGCTGATCGATCAAAAAGGGTCTACAGAAATTAGTAATTTTATGTGTAATAATTGACTCAAGATCTTGGGATATTATTCAATTTGCAAACTGGACGATAATTTTGTCTCACGGAACGATTTATTACCTTTCGTAAACACCGGAACAATGCCAGAAACCAACGGATTTGGAAAACAAAATATGACCAGTAAAGGACAAAGAGCGAGCACAATTTTTTAATAAAATAGCAGGAAATCATATGGAGCACTAGAGAAGGATGGCTTAAAAGAAGTCAACTGTTTAAAAACTATGTCAACATCAATGGAAATTTCATTAAAAATTAATGACCAGGAAAGCCTACTATCATATTTGGGAAAAGTAAAGGAACAGCTAAAACCAGCAGAAGGAGGCACCTGTTCAAAGATATCAGCAACCTGCTGATTATCTTTAATGATAACTATATTATCTTTCATTTATTGGGTAGCTCGTAATCTATCTTTTCTCGTTAACAAATGACCAAAATGACCAAATATCTTGCAGGGATCTTGAAGCACCAAAATCAGCCTTCTTGAAATTTTGATAAAAATTTGTATCAATTATCTCATAAAATTTCAAAATTTTATTTTATTAATTGCCGTAAAGTTTGACCGCGTTGACGTTGGGTTTTTCACCCGCGATCGCCCCAGGCGTACCTTTGAGTTTAATCAGTGAAAGTAATAGTCATAAAAGCCACGGGGCGATGTATGACAAACGGTTACTGTTTAATAACGAGAGTGATTTTCCTCCAGCTCATAAAAAGGAATTTATTAAACCGCAATTTTCTCCCTTGAAAGAAGCTAAATTGAGAGGAGGGGCATAAAGATGTCTGCGCTTAGCCCGGTTCCCGGGTGGAAAACTAATGTGATAATCCCGACACCTGCTTCCCCGTGCCCGATCCGACGGATGAGGCCACTCCGGCTTATCCCCTTTGAGAAACAATAGGAGGTTTAGGAGTGAAGGCAACTCAGTGCCCTCCTTTAGACCCCGGCCCAGCGGCTTTACGGCCCCAGCTCGCCCCAGGCATGATCTCTTTTATCGAACCGCTTTCCGGTATCCAACAGCTACCGCAATGGCCGCTAAGCCGGATTCGGTTTTCGATGGCAAACTGTAAGTATTTTTAAGGTGTTAGTTCTTTAAACGGCTTAAATAAAAACATGGTTGTTGATCTATGAAGCTGTGATCTAAGATTGGGAAAAAACTCTTTTTTTAAACATCGGATCAAAACCGTTCCGACGTGAATCAGCACTTTTTCGTTGCTCTCAACTCTCGCTCACCAAGTTTATATTACCCATAATTACATGAGTAAACATTGGCGGGTTTTTCGAATTTTGGTACACCAGGGTCAATAGTAAAGGTTGATAATCTGAATTATAGGGTTGTTATATGAAAGAACTGACAAGTTCTTTAAATGGCTTAAATAAAAACGTGGCTTTTGGTCTGGGAGTCGGTGATCAAGGGTTGGGAAAAACCGCTCTTTTTAAGCATCGGATCAAAACCGTTCACTCATTGACATGAATCAGCATTTTTTGTTGCTCACCACTCTCGCTCGCCAAGTTTATATTACCCATAATTACATGAGTAAACTTTGGCGGGTTTTTCGAATATTGGTGCAGGTGATAGTAAAGGTTGAAAGTCTGAATTACAGGGTTGTTATATGAAAGAACTGACAACCTTTCTCGTTTTTATTATCGCCAATTATAAATTTCAATTAACAAAAATGAGAAATCAAATTAATTCTTCATTTCGTTTATATAACAATTAATTCTCCTGTAGTTTCATTACCTTTTCCTTGTGAACGGATTAATAAAACCAAAATAAAGAACGGCGCAGAAAGGCGGACTCCTCAGGAGAGGTAAATCAGGAGAGCGAGTCGAGCTGAGATCTGCAAACGGGGTGAAGACACTTCCCAAGTTACTGCATGGTGGTAAAGGCAAAAATCAAAATTGATCGGCAATCGCTGAAGGGTTGGTATCGAAAAGGTAAGGTGGGGATATAAGAACTACCGCTCTTTTTAAAGGGAGTCGACTCTTTTTCGTTTCGGATTTACACCTCATCAATATCGAACTAGCTAACATTGAAACATAAAGATCCTTGAGTGAAACATAAACCAAGGATGACGACCCAGTAAAGATCAGTTCAACATGTTGACTTACGTGACTATCAGTTTCCTTCTTTCCTCTCGTTTATCACAAAAACAAAACAAGCTGCACATGGCTCAAAGATTAGTCAACCAATCGATAAAAATGTTCAAGTCCAATATTTTTAACTATTGAGTTCATTAATATTTTCATTACTTTGTACACGATTAACTACTACTGTACTTCTTCATTTACACTACATACCCCTCCTAGTAGGATAGTGACCTATTCAGCCCAGCGGTTACAAAAGTATGTCCATAGTGTCAGTGTTACACCCTTAAACGAGCAAGTCTCGTAAAAACCCTAGTGGAAGAGGAAGTATAGTCATACGGAGGTCTCTTCAGAGCTGAAAAACTGAGTTGAGCTATTTAGTTAAAAAGGAAAATCAGAGCCAGAGAATAACACTCCTAACAACTGATTATTTGGAGATTGTGATGTAGTGACCACTTGTAGTTCCAACGTTACCGCTAGATGTCACTACCACTTATGTTATGTTCTTGCCCTCCACTCCGCAGCCAATCAGAGTAGAGCCCTTCGGATAAATAAGCAGGGGCACTGCCCCAATGGAACCAGACTCGTCGACACGACGAGGTCTCACCCATCACTAATAGTCAACGACAGCAAACTCGTCACCCCGACGACTCTCACAAATCACTAATCAGGTACTTGCAGCATTAGCCTGATTCTCGCCTACAAAACACAGCCGACTTGGCTATAAACGCCAACTGCTGCGCTCGGCTAATTGCTGTACTCCAGTACTTTCGGCCTCTGGATTCAACCGACTCACGGCCCCCGGACCTCAGCCAACGGTTACTAAGTCACAGACCACCACCAACGGTACCACGCATATTGTCTCGGCCTCGATTCATCGTCTCGACGCTACAAAACAACAACGGCCCTTTTCAGGGCCACAAAACTCCCAGTCACTAAAGTGAGATGAGGTCTTGTGTTGTAGGTTTAGAAAAACATTTTCTTTATCGTGCCATCGTTTCGATCTTTATTTATACCATGTTCAGGGTTCAAAGGGTTTATTTTATGTATAGATGTGTCACGGTATTGTGGTGTTGAGAGTGTTAGTAACTATACGGCTACGGCCACTAACACTGTGAACACGACGCACAACTGTGACACATCTACAAAGAAATCACACACTTTGAGCCCTTTAGATGAAATAAATATCGAAACGTTAGTACCATAAAGAAAATGTTTTTCTAAACCTACATCACACAAGATGTCATTAATCATCAACTATAGGCCACTGAGGCCATGCTGCTCAATCTGGGGCCAAGGGTTGGCCCAGTGTATGGAGCCAAGTCCATGGCCATCGTGGGAGGGTGCTTAGCTTGATGACCAATGTGTTAGCCTGCCATGGCCCATAGTGTAGAGAGGCTATAAAGTATTGTTAGAAAACACCGATCAGACACACTCGTCAAGAAACACCACAGGGACAAAACAGTAAAGATAAAAAAGGAAAAATTTTGGAAACGACCAAAACATGAGCACTTCGCTAACTGTTTTTGTAAATAATATTTCAATTATTTTACATATTATTAATACAATATGTAGATAGAACTTATCGCTGACAAAAATTCTAAAATTTGTTCCGCAATCAATGGTGAATAGGAGAATTGACTTTTTTTAAATTTATAATACCTCTATCGCGCACATTGCGGAGACGAAGCCGATTTCTAATTAATCGACCTAATTAGCTAATGTCGTGTAGTGGCCGGGGAGCCGTCGTTTTCCACCCCGGCCGCCCCCTGCTCGAAAAGGGGCCCCGAGGGTAATTACACTAATATATCAGCCGCCAATTGTTTACGCCCTTTCCGAAGAGCGTTAGATATTATCTGAAGTGCGACGGTTTAATTTAATGGCAAAAGGGCGAGAGCTGAATTGCCGGATTATTTAAATTATGCCGGACAGTGTGGAGAAAAATTAATGCGAACCTTTTCTCTAGGGCTATCGGCTAATTTCACATTTTACTGACAATTTAAAGAGTTTTAATTTGATGTACAAGTTAGCACTGCCTTCCACTTGTTTATATATTGAGTCGAAGTTATTATGAACCTGGTATCGATTGAATCGATCACCTTGCCGTGCAGTGACCCTGAATGCGATGGTTAGAAATTGTAAATCGGACCCGGCAAAATATAGATGTAACTGTAGAATGTTTCGTAGCGTAATTTTCAAGCTGATAAATAAACAGTTAAAACCTAAAGATCTAAAAACAAATTCACTACTTCACTTAGAAGTAAGTTGTAGTGTCAAGTTCTACTACTACTATTGTCCTACAGGCGTCATAATCTGACATCATCAGTAATAATTACTTCGATTGTTAAATGTATTATGAGGGTTCTTCATTGGAGATAAAATTCACTACAGTTAGGTTGTTTTTCGTCCCTCAGGCATCGGTTCTACTTATACCGCCATCTTCAGTAGGGTTAAATCGAATCAAAAATGAGTAGAGAAGATTATAATTTTTTGATATATTACTTAGAAGAAAGTTGAAGTGTCTTAAGTTCTACTAGTACTATTATCTTACAGTCGTCCTAATCTGACATCATCAGAAATAATTACTTCCATTATTAAATATATTGTTAGAGTTCTTCAATGGAGATAAAACTGTAGTTAGGTTGTTTTTCGTCCGTCAGGTATTGGTTCTACTTACTGCCATATTTAATAGGGTTAAATCCAATCAAAAATGGGTAGAGACCTATTGACCGATTGACCAATTAACTTTTTTCAATTAATTAATCTTTATGAAAGGTATTGGTCGAGATAAAAAAGTCAGTGTCACGAGCGGGATTCGAACCCACGATCTTCGGCTAAATACGCCACTGCTCTACCACTTGAGTTATCGTGACTTCGATCCACTCGGACACTAACTTCCCATCTCGATCCACCTTTTGAATTTTCCCTCCTTTTTGACATTTTTCAATTTTATCTCAACCAAAACCTTAATTAATTGAAAAGAATTTATTTGATCAAGCGGACCACGAAACCTAATAAAATGTAATAAGCAAAATGAAGTATACTTCACTAAAGCTCTCCGTGGCCATTTCATCTGTTGCCTAGAATCAAATAGATTACACCACATTTGAAAAATGGCAAAAAGGAGGGAAAATTCAAAAGGTGGGGTTGAGATGGGAAATTAGTGTCAGGTTAGCTCAAGTGGTAGAGCAGCGGCGTATTTAGCCGAAGGTCGTGGGTTCGAATCGAAGCTTTTTTATCCCACCTAAAAATCGGAATTAGTGAATAGCGGACTACGAAATTAGTGAATTCATTATTATTATTATTATTATTAATATGTGCAATATGTTAAGTATTAACAATTAATATGTATCGTGACATTTCCTCTTAGGTATTGAAAATGTAGTTTAGTCGTTTCAAATCATTTTGGCCGGCGTAAGTTTATGAATGGTTTGGTACCTACAGATATTGTTTGAGACAATTAGAGTTGGATAAAGATTGTTAGGAATAGATAGAGTGTTAGAATGGTTAGGTAGTTTTAGAGATGATCACATAGAAAGATACAATTCTCATTATTTGGCGTCGTAGTTTCTATAAGCGTATTTGATCACAGAGGATTAGAGTTGGATAGAGACGGTTGAGAATAGTTAGAGATTGTTATGGATCGTATGGTACTTTTAGAGATGATCAGAAGCGTTTGGGGTAAGATAGAGATGGTTAAGAATAGTTAGAGAGGTTTTTGTATAAAATCCCATGATGTAAATAAGAACTGATATGTGATCTTACTAGATTTGGTCAATTAATATTGATTAAACCAAGAAACAAGCCTTGTTTGCATGGATCGTTATGTTTTGATAAATTAACCACTTCTCTTTCCACCCTTTCAGCAAGGAGACGATTGAGACTGAGGCGAAAGCCAAGAAACGCTGGAAACGGAAATGGGCCGCCATGTCGACGAGGGAATTTTACGAGGAGGTGAGCAGACGGATAAATTAATAAGGACGAGCAGACCCCAATGGGACCTGGCCGATAGCAACTGCTCGTTATCAAATTTAGGGTTAATTTAGTCGGTTGTTTAATTACCCGCTGGAAATGGGAGTTTGGACGTGAGTTAGGAGAAGGGGAGAATGTCGTGCCTTGGGGCCTGGAGACGGTATTGCCTCAGGATATACTCTCAATTTATTAAATTACGATTTCTGTTTATGATAGAGTGAGGAATTAATTAAAAAGAAATGAAATATTTGAAAAAGTGAATGGAAAACTCGCTAAACTCTGATGACCGACGTTTTTGAAGCATGTAGTTAAGTTGTGAGGATGGGACTTTCGGTCCTGTTTTTTGGTAGTAAGGATGAAGATTATTCCATTAATGCCAACGTCTCGATTTATTATCATTCAGAAATCGTGAGATGCGGGCTGGTGTGATGTAGGTTTCAGAAAAACATTTTCTTTATCGTGCCAACGTTTCGATCTTTATTGAGATCATCTTCAGGGCTTGGGATTTACAAACATTGTTTACATTTAACAAATATATATAGGATGTGGAAAAAAGTGAATTTATACAATGCAAAATATATTTTTTTATATTCAATCAAAGTATTTCTACTTCCTCAAAGTGTTTGTTTTCTGTGTAATTGTGCCATTCTTGCGTGTCGTGTTGAGAGTGCCAGTGAGATATTGCTGTTTTATGTTTATATATGTTGGATTTTGAAGGGGTGGGGAAGGAAGTCGGTATAGAAAAGACATTTTTGTATAAGGCGTCGGTTTCTCTGAGGTGAAAAGTGCCAACGAAGGGAAAAAACGTTGGTGATGGTTCGGCCAGATTATCCTTTCAGGATTATATAGAAAGGGATAAATAGGAAAAGGAAAGCTAAATTGTTGAAAAATTAGACTATGTGAAAAATGTTTGATGTGTGGAATGTGATGTGATGATAAATATATATGTTATCTATATTGAATTTGATTAATGATATTGGCGTAGCTGCGACTGAGTTTACATGTATCTGTTCTGTAATTGATGCTGTGTTTATCTCTGTTGATATAAACCATTTCTAAAAAATTACGTTTATGCTTGATTTGTTCTGTGTGTAATATTTTTGGATTGTTGAAGTCGAAAATATTACACACAGAACATAACAAACATAAACGTCACTTTTTAGAAATGGTTTACATCAACAGAGATAAACACAGCATCAATTACAGAACAGATACATGTAAACTCAGTCGCAGCTACGCCAATATCATTATTCAAATTCAATATAGATAACATATATATCATCACATCACATTCCACACATCAAACATTTTTACATAGTCTAATTTTTCAAGAATTTAGCTTTCCTTCTCCTATTTATCCCCGTCTATATAATCCTGAAAGGATAATCTGGCCGAACCAATACCAAGGTTTTTCCTTCGTCGGCTCTTTTCACCTCAAACAAGCCGACGCCTTATACAAAAATGTCTTTTCTATACCGACTTTCTTCCCCTCAAAATCCAACATATATAAACATAAAACAGCAATATCTCACTGGCACTCTCAACACGACACGCAAGAATAGCACAATTACACAGAAAACAAACACTTTGTTATACAAAGTATATTATACTTTGAATATAAAAAATATATTTTGCATTGTATAAATTCACTTTTTTCCACATCCTACATGTATTTCTTATTTAAACAATGTTTGTAAATCCCAGGCCTTGAAGATGATCTCCATAAAGATCGAAACGTTGGCATGATAAAGAAAATGTTTTTCTGAAACATACATCACACCAGACCGCATCTCACGATTTCTGAAAAATCAATGAATTTGAACAGTCATCAACTCAACTAAATTAGAACATCATGTAGTTAAGGTTATGGGGAAATGTTTTGAAGTTTTTTTTGTCTAAATTCAGATTTTCAGACATCACAGATGTGCTTGCAAACGATGAAAAGGATATGATAAAAAAAAATCTTATCGCTTATATCAAAAGGATTGAATATAACAATAACAATGTAGGAACGATGTTGTCGCATGTGAGAGATTGACGGTCGTGATCGGTCTGATTGAATCGGACGTTAAACTCCTTTATGCCGGTTGTACTACAAGGAGTGGATCGAATCCTCCCATTTCCTTTAAGTCGTCTGCCCCCTTTCCTACCCCTTTCCCCTGTAGACAGACGATGAGAATGGAAAGGGAGGAAATGGCCTCGCTCGTTTTCCAACCTCCTACCCCTAGCCTTTAATTTCCTTGCCCCATTGTCGGGATGGCTCTTTAAATAAGGTTCAAGCTTGAACGTTCTTTTCATCCGGCACTTTTTGATCTACACCCACCGCCAGTTTTTACAAAGCTTCACGTTTATCTATTTCAGAACTTTATTTTTGAAATTTAAGTGCCTGCATAGAATCCTTTAACTTTTAAAAGAATTCAATGGCATTTTCAAATATTCCTTAGTTTTAAAAAGATAATAAATTAATTGCAGATAATCCGCCAGGAAACGGTCCGCTTCGGTTTAGACCCGGAGTTTTACTTTGAATGGGTCAGAAAGAACCAAGATTTGAAGAAGATAACCAGCTCTGTTCACATCAAGCCATCGCCGCCAGTTCCAGCTCAAAGCTCACGTACCAATCACTAATCCGAATGAGAAAAACATTGCCTCATTGACGTTCTCTTTTCAGAAATGATAGGTTGGAGGAGTATGCCAGAACACACCCTCGAGATAGCTGGGCCGTTTTTCGTCTCCAGGAAGGACACGATGACACTACAAGGAAGAGAGCCAAAAGAGGAACACGATTTCATAATGTTGGGTTAAATTCGCAGTGTTAAGAGCAAAGAATGTGTAAATATAATTTTTTTCCATTTTAATGAGTTTGTCCACGAACCCAAATTATTTCGACAAAACGTTCAGAAGTTGACGGTACAAGGTGATCCAAATACAGTGAAACCTCCGTTAAGAGATTCCTCTGTAGGCTTGGCCAAGTCGGTTGGTTTGATTCGCCGGGCGTGGCCAATAGTACACATTTGGTTTTGCTAATTCATAATAAATAGTTCTCTCAAACAAATCCATTATGTACGATAATGGATGGAAGAGATATGCTTTTAAATTACGAAAATTCTTGGAAACCTAGTTTAATAGCATTAGCTGAAGTAAAACACTAAGAGGGAAAATTTTAAAAGATCTTAAAAATCGTTGAAAATATCATCCAAAACTACACCTAATCTACATGTAGACAGCTTATGTAGATGATGATAAATCTCTTTAGAGCACTCCTCCCGAAAGAGGATAAAAGCAATGACACCATGACTTGTGTCTTTTCATCTTTTCTTCTGTCTGTTCCCTGACCCTATGGACTATACGATAGGTGGTTTCTTGTTTAATGGTCCGTCTCTGCGCCTCCATTATTCATGTCTAGGGTGGTCCTTGGGACATCATCCGGGAGGGGGTCTGAGGGCAAGATATTAATTTTTAGCTAGGCTAGTTTATCTTTCTCGTGACGCCTTCTGACAAGATGCCTCGTCGCCGTAAAAGCACTTTTGGTGCTAGCAAGCTGTAGCTCTTTCTAAGTGCATCGTTTGTGGTTTCCGTTGGTCTGTACGATAGCCACGTAAATCGTACTTCACAATTAATTAAGGTTTTTAGTTGAAATAAAAAGGTCAGTGTCACAAGCGGGATTCGAACCCACCGCATTCAGCTCAATATGCCACTGCTCTTCCACTTGAGTTATCGTCACCTCGATCCACTCGGACCCTAACTTCCTATCTCAACCCCACCTTTTGAATTTTCCCTCCTTTTTGTCGCCGAGAATCAAATAGATTACACGACATTTGAAAAATGGCAAAAAGGAGGGACAATTCAAAAGGTGGGAAGTTAGTGTCCGATTGGATAGAGGTAACGATAGCACAAGTGGTAGAACAGTGGCGTATCTAGCCGAAGATCGTGGGTTCGAATCCCACTCGTGACACTGACTTTTTTATGTCAACTAAAAACCTTAATTAATTAAAAGATATTAATTGGTCAAGCGGACCATGAAAACTAGTGAATTTAGCACTTCACAATATTTGCTGCATTGGAGGAATACATGTTCCACGGTTTCACTGTCTCCACACTCACACAAAGGCGAGCCTTTCAGTCTTAATTCATTCTGCTCCTCTGCAGTCACCGTGGCCGTGGCATTCGTGAGTTACAGGAAAGGAAACTGTAATCCAACACTGCTGACAATACGTCTCCTGATAACTGATCAAAAAACCCTTCCCTTCCTGTAATTGCAATTTTAATCATTCTCTGCTGTAAGCCCCGTCTGAACAGTTGTAGCTCTAATAATAAAATTATTTTTTAAAAAGTAATTTTTATTCGGAGTTCATTTAATTGTGGACGAAAATTGATTCTAAGAAATTCTAAAAAATTCGTTTCCACAATGATTGCTACCCTATAATTCCTAAATATTCCGAGTTTGTCTAAAGCCGTGCGAAGATCATATTAACAACTGTTTCTTGAAAAACATATTAAATAAAATAGAACGTTTTATATTTGTCAATAAACACCAAGGGTTGTATTTAAATGAGGTATTTAGAAATTCCTTCTGTGCGAATTTTAATGCGAGAGATGTTCAAGTGGACATAAACGCGTCGTAAACTTTGCGAATTCCGTGTAGAAGCTACTGCAATAAATGCGAGGCCCTTTGGTAACAAACCGGATCGTGTCTGTTGCTTATTACCGGGGACAGTTTCTGAAAGGGAATATTGTCAGATCGGCAGAGGAAACGGTCGGGTGTCATCTCATTCCGCTCACTTTTATATTTTACGCTAGCTAATCAATTTTAACGAGCTCTCCTCGGGTGTGCGGCTTTACAAATAAATCCTTTTAACCCTCTAACTCTGCTCCCTCCCCTTGTTTTATTGAGTTTTTGTTATTTTTTTTTAAGTTTATTTCCACGCTTTTATTACGGTCGCTATTGTGCCCAGTTTTGAGTGAGTGAGTGAGTGAGTGAGTGAGCGCGCGCGCGCGCGTAAACCCAGGACGGATTTACCACCCCGACACATTTTCAAACAGGTAAATTACATTATTTAATGCAATTTGGGGGTTTCATTGGGCCATTGTTGATGTTTCGTAACAATTAACAAAGGAAATGAAAAAGTTTTGACGGCTTGGCGTTTTCCGGAATAAAAAGGCCAAAACCATCATAATATCTCGTTGCCAGTAGAGATACATGATATAATATATGCATAAAATCATTCGTCTGAGGAGATTTGAAAAGAGAATGATTTCCCGAGAAATCCAAATGACCTATGAAGTTTTGGAAACAGACTGTCCTACTCCTTACTTATTATTTCTCCAAACATCTGGAAACATGGTGATGTAACAAGAACGCAAATTATTCCTCCAAATATTTAGAAACAGTCTGAACTCGGTATAACTCAAATTAATCTATAAACACTTTGAAACCAAACTGTTCAATCGAGAGCTCAAATTATAACTAAAAAAAAATGAAATCAACTCATTCCTTTGAACACATTTGAAAAGAGGAAGATTTCATGATAAATCAAATTATTTTGAAATAGAGTGATCCTAAATTATTTCAACATTTAGAAACAGTCTGATAGTATGAGAATCCATGTTAATCCTAACTTTATTCGGAGATCGTGAGATGCGGTCTGGTGTGACGTAGGTTTTAGAAAAACATTTTCTTTATCATGCCAACGTTTCGATCTTTATTGAGATCATCTTCAGGGCTCAAAGTGTTTGTAGTCCATGTAGATGTGACATTCTTGTGTGATGTGTTGTCCGAATAATCATTGACTAACGGTCACTAAACATCACACATTAATCCTAACAATATTTGGAAGCGGATTGATCTCACAAGAACCCAAATTATTCCTTAAAGCATTTAGAAACGGGCTGTCCTTTCCAGAACTCAAATTATTCCACGAAATATGAAGAGTACTGATACGCCTCAGAACATTCTAAAGGTAGATGATCTCACGAGATTTCAAATCAATGTACAAACATTTTTAAAGAGACTGTTCTCATGACAACTAAAATTATTCCTAAACAAATTAAGCAAAGTCATTCATCTGAGGTCATTTGAAAAGAGTTTATTGTCAAATTAATCTACAATTACTTTGGAAACAGATTGTCCTCACGAGAACTCAAGTTCCTCAAAAAAGTAAGAAAATTCATTCATACGAGGACATTTGAAGAGGAAATGATCTTACAAGAACTCATATTAATCTACAACATTTTAGAAACAGCCTGTTCTCACGAGAACTCAAAATATTCCACGAAACGTTTGAAAAAGAAAATAATCTTATAAGACTTCAAATTGTTCCCCGAAACGTATGTTGAAATATATTTTTTAACCGAATCATTGATGCTATGTTTGTCATTACTGTATTCAAAATGAACGTATTTCGATTTTTTAAAGAATAAATTTTCCCAAATGATTTGGTGATGTATTGTTGACAGGACAATTGTTAACATTAAGAAGGCCTAATTTTCTAAAAATCTCTATTTTCTATATCTGACAATTATTGATCTCGTTTGATCCGCCTAGTCTGGTTGCCTAGCGCTACGCTTCGACTTCAGTGACCCATATAATCAAACTTCAATTACCTGTAACTGTTCGGATCGGAAATTTTAATACTCTTCAGAATGATTCGTATGTGGAGATCATTCTGCCATACGTTTTGTGTTGGTGGTATTTCAATTATTTGATTTTTGATTTGAGAATGTTTAAAAAGTTTCCCTTCGGCTACGAAGTTTAGTTTGTTGGGTGGATGGAGGAAAACGGTTAACACGCAGACAAGGTTTAAGTAGTTCCTAAAGTTTAGACTAGAAAGTGGCCGGTGAAAGGGAACGCCATGTTTCAGAGGATTAGCCTCAGCCGGCGGCTCCCTTTCATTTCAGACTCACCTGCTTTCAGACCTTGTGAAAAGCTCGACTTTTGACCCAATAGAAACTTTTTAACCAGGGCTTTTAGTGAAAAAAATATCCAGGTAGAGAAATAAAATCGCGCAAGGAGACCAAAATCTTAATTAAACATTTCTCTGAATCTAAATTAGAAACGCAGAAGAAACGTCCACTTTTCCAACATAAAACCAGCTATAAAAGGTCGTCTCTGCAGGTTATAATTTTATATTAATACTAATCTTTTTTATTGTTATTTCGTGACTCTCGTGAACTTCCAGACCTAACATTTTACCGCTTGTTCGTCTGTTTCCATCCTTCTTTTATGGCCGTGGTAATAAATTCCTACTGTGTTCCAATTCCAAGAGGTGCACTATATCAAAACACCGAATGTAACAACACACATTTTGGATACATTGTTATATATTTTCTTGTAGAAACGTGCCACATATTCATTAACTTATCAAACTTGATATTATGTGAAATGGTGTGTGTTTCCTTACGTTCGCGTTCGAAAGTTTTCTCCCTTGGATTTCTGCTACTTGGATCGTTGTTTGTCTTTGTCCGAGTTGTTTCCCCGGAGTGAGGGGGTGAAAGGGTAGACGATAAACTATAAATTTTCGACGAAAAATTTCTTGTTCGACTTTAATAAACTTTTCACGAAAAAAAAACTACTGGGCGACTTTGAACTTCTTCTCCTGTCCAGCTTAGCAAATATCCTGTAAGAATGATCAAGACGGGAAGGTGCGTTTTACACATCCAATTTTCCTTTTATAATCTCAGACCGGGCTTAAAATTATAGTTTTTTAAAATTATTGTTCGACAATATATTTGGTAGGATCGGGTCCAATGAATATTCTTGTGTTGAAGAAACTACGCCAAGCTTTCGTTGTTTTATTTCACCTTCCTCAGGACTC